AGTGTGTGGTAGCATCACTAAATAACACATATGGGTGTATACACACGCACGCACACACACGCACACATATTCACATACACATGTTTAGTCTTTGATAACGAGACTGTTCCTCTGAGATGGTGGGAGCATTCATGGTCATGACTATAAAGGGAACAGCACAAAGAGAGAGCGAAGAGAGGAGGGAGGGGGGGAGAGAAAGCATGTGTGTATGATGGGACTGAGACCTCTTTAATGTTGGGAAGTGAACATAATGAGTAAGCACTGTGAACACACACCTGCATACACACGATGACCCATGTACAGATATACACACGTAAAGACATGTAGAAGAGCGAATGCAGATCTAGACATTTACAAAGACATGGCATGAACATACACACATGTACAATCACACACCACACACACACACACACACACACACAAGAAAACACAAACAAGGGGAAGCACTTCTTTCCCAACTTCATCTTATTTTTGTAGCATTTAAAATCACTGTTAATTACTCCTGTGTGGAAAGCAGTGATGGGGTATAGCCTGTGGAAGATTAAAAAAATGTGTCTTCTCTTCTTCTATTCCACTGATGCTGTCCTTCTATTGTTCTTCTTCTTCTCTGGTTTGTGATCCATGGTTGGTAGTGGTAGGATGCCTCCGGGGCTGAGCGTCATGTATGAGTTTGTCTCCTTTTCTGTTTGTTGTGTTCTTGTGGACGCTGACCTCAGTCATTAAAGTCAGTCAAAAGTAAACACAGAAGTCAGAGCAAGGAGAGAAACACACAAATAAAGATTGTCTTTTTGTCTACTCGGAAATCAAGCCAAGTGAGTGGAATTTCTTCAGTGGAAATGTGAATTAACTTTGTTTGTTTTTTGTTTTCTTCCTCCAAAGTGCTGATGATTGTATTCGTATATTAGACTGCACCTGGGTCTTTATTTTGCCCAGTCTATCTTCCTCTGACATCAAAGCTGTGGGACGGTGAGCAGTGAGCTCTGCCAGTCAAAGCATGAAATTATTCAGATGAAATCACCCTCTCCAATCTTCAGCTGTTTCTCCCTCAGTGATGTGACAGCTAATCTGAACTGCTGACAACAAGGAGAGTGAATAACTTGATAGCCTTTCCTCTTCTGTTTCCATCAGATTTCAAGAAGGGTGGCCTGCAAGTTCTAATAACCAAGCAGTGTCTTCGAAGTTGACCTGTTACGCTTTTTGTCATTATAAATGCCGTAGCAATGGTTGGTGGTCAGTTCAGGCTTTTTCTACTCGTGGCTCTATATGAGTAGAGAGGGGAAATCATTCAAATGATCATTTAAGGTACTCAGATCTGGCTATGACAATAAGAGCTTCGAAGACCTGCTTTTAAAACCTTTTGTTTGGGAGGGGCAGCCAATCGGGAGAAAGCTTTCTTCAAGCGGGGTGGTCTTTCAGAGAGAAGAGCTCGTTTCAGGCAGTGGATGAAATAAGTGGCTTCACAGTAGCTTAGTATAAGATAAATTATTTTGAACTTTAAATTATTCACACTACCATAGTCCCAGAATAAAAACATTGAGCTAGAAACGAGCATAAAAGGAGATCTCATGTACTGACTGCACTTGCACTTTACTGTATGCCCATGGTCTAAACTGCATTTAGAAGGAAAATACTCCACTAGTTTTCTGATTTTGCAAAAGACAGATGAAAGACCTCCTCTATGCACAAAGCTGTGTCCAGATAGATTTCAAGTATCTCTAAGTGCATTTTTGTGCACTTGCCTTCTTTCTTTTAAAGGTGGAAATGAATGAGAATGCAAACTGAAGCTGAAATATTACACTCAAGCTTTAAACAAGACCAACACTTGCAGTGGGTAAATGTTCAGATAGGTGGCTCAAGAAGGAGTTAAATTACATTAAAATAGATTAAAGAAATAATACATGAAACATACAAAATTCACTTGAAATTTGCTCGTTTTAATTGCATCATCTGTTTATGATGTCTTCTTCTGCACTGGTTTTATGGCATCTGAGCAACTGTCTTCAGCTGTTTATCTCAGTAGGGGGTTATCTCAAATCGTTAATATTTCACAACTGTGTGTCTTAATATTTTACTTCTATTTTTAGACTGTCTTTAAATTCTATAACATTATAAGCCGGAATTGAGTGGAAACTTTGAGCCGTTTGTTTACGACTTGTTTTAATTTTCACCAACATTGATGATGATTTTCCCTTTACACAAGGTGTCATTTAAGTAAGCGTTAACTGTTAAACTGTTTAAAAGAAAGCAAAAAGTAAATCAATGAGAATTAGTTTTCTAACTTAAAAAACAATTGTTGTAGAATTCATCAATTTATTACCCTACATTTATTTTGTACCCCTTCCCAGACCTTTTAACCTATAAATCGAGAATTCACACACTGACAAATGTCTAAAAGCATAAACATTTGAGTATGAAAGGTCAAAGGTCAAGTCTGAACAAACATGGATGTAATGCTGGTTGGAGGAGGAGGAAGATTGTGACCATTCCACTGTCTCTGCAGCTGGACTGATCTAACAAGAAAGTTTAATGTTTAATAAGTCAAAATGAAATGTTCACTTAAGCTTGTTAGGTTTTCCCCATATCCGGACATAAACAGCCAGACAGACAATGGGCACTTTTCCCTTTTGGGGTTTGTAAGGGCTAGTGCTAGCTTGAAACATTCATCAGCTTTGTTTTAAAAGCGTTATTTGAAACTACTGACTTGTCGCTTTTGGCAACGAGATGTAAAAAGAATATCAGAAATGTTGTTTTGGGGGAAAACTGAGGCACATGAATAATAGATTAGCTTTGGCTTTCCATGTTTGGCCCTCCTGTGCAAAGCGGGCTAATGGCTATCGATGTCTCTAGTTTCCTTCAAATTGCTTCACATGAGAGCTCAATTCAAATGGAGAAAGAGTAGACTGCAGTGAAAAGGAGACGAGGGAATGAAATTATCTCTGAATATTGAGATGCACGCTTGGTCAGCCAATTCGTTGTCCTGACAAGTATCAGGTATCAGCGGAATTAGCCTAATGTTAAATTAAGCCCGATCAAGCAAGGCCTTGAAACATTCCCACGTCTCGGTCCTTGTGCGAGGAAAGATGGATGTACGATCCAACTGGAGCGGCGCCAGAAATGAACAGATGTGCTCCTTGAAATCACGAGAAACAAGAAATCAGGGCTATGTCACTGACACACATGCTCAGACACGCTCTTTTATATCCCCATGTATTCTCTTCCAGATCTAATTAATCACTTGATTATTTTATCTATTTTCACTGGCTGCCATACACATGGGACAATAGTTGGCGAGAATAAACTTGGCCTATATGATGTTAGTTTTGGCAACAATCAAAAAGCAACCGAGGAAATACAGATGGCGATCTCCATTTTTCTCCCCCCCTCTTTCCCTTTCCCCCTTCATCTCCTCTTCTGATGCTTCCTTGCGCTCTCAAACACATTATTAGGGTATAGGCTAATCTATTCTCCTCTCTCCCTTGTATTTTTGTCTCCTCATACTCAACTAACTAGCATGATTTAGGAATTATGGAATTAGGGCAGCACTCCCATCTCTATTAATGAGGAACAGGATGATGAAAGAGCTTGTTCCTCAATGTGCCATCTGCAGTCACTATTACACATTCACCTAATATATTTCTCTTTCTATTCTTTGCCCTTACCTTCCTCTCTCTCTCTTACACACACACACACACACACACGCGTGTGCGCGCACACACACACACACACACACACATTATACCTTAGTTGTAATTACAGAAGAAATAATTTCAGCTCTTCAGGCACTGTTGGATGTGGCGTGAAATGGTGAAATGGCACAGCAAGAAAGTTAACTATGGACCCCAACACCCTTACATAGACACATGCACAAACACATTTGCAGGAGTCCAGATGGGCCGTGTGTTATTGCTGAATAATGCATGCTATGTAGACTCTATAAAAGATACATGGGCAGAGAGAGCTAAGAATCATTCAGGCACCATGGCCAGTTTGGTGAGGGCAACGTTGGAGCATCCCTTGTGCAAATTTGGAGCTATAACAGGCTTTTCAGCTTGTACATATTTAGCTATAGGTGACCCAACAGGGAAAATATTTAGCTCCAGTTAGAGAGAAAAATAAAACTTGCCTTTTAGACACTGTCAGCTGATATTGTGGCTGGCACTCTGCCCGGTGTCTTTGCAGTCACCTTCAAAAGGCTTTTGTGGTTTAAACCATAAAACTTGGGGAATTACACAGCAGATTCTTTGCTAGAGGCTCGGATTTCAGAGCATCGCTTAGAAACACTATGAAAAATATCCAACAGTCTGTCTTCATGTAAAATACCCAGAAGAGGGGAGGGGCGAGGGGGCGAGGGGGGGAGGTCCAGGTGAAGGGTAAATGCTGCACTCATGTGGGGAAAATGAGCAGCGCTTTTTTTCTTCTTCTTCTTTTTCCTCTGGAGTCATATGACAGGACACGCCCATCATTAAGTGTTGCGTTCAGTGCTGACGGAACGCTCACTTCTCTATGAGTCGCAGTTTGATGCACAGTAAGGCCACAAAGAAAATTGATTAGCAAGAAAGAAAAATTGAAAGCCAAGTAACTTCACACAAGTTGTATTATCTCGTGATTTTGTTAAATCAGTATACAGCAGCTGAAAGATAAACACAGACAAAAAACACAAGTAGTTTAACAGTTATATTTAAATCAACTTTTCATGTAAAGTTGACTACCTGAGAACTAGACTACTTTTTCAGTTTTAGATTGTTAAACCTATAGGGAGAGAAATAATGCATGCCGTGCCTCAAATCATTCTGGGCAACACGTGGGATGCAAGGTCCATTGAAAGTTTTGAGTTTTCATATTTCCGACAGCATTTGAAAGCACCATCGTAACTTCGGACAGACAGCGGAACCAGTGAAGGAATTCGGGAGTTGCCAGCGCCAAGTTCACATACCGTCAAGAAGGAGGAGTTTTCAGGTCATCTTTTTTTTTTTAAAAACAAGGAGGGTTAACTGTAAGTATTTACTCCCTTGGTAAATATCTATCTACACTTTCCTCTCAACACAGCTGTTTCAGTGTTAGCGTTAGTTGACAAGAAAGCGGAACTAGCTAACTAGCAGGCCAGCACGTACATTAGCCTGTTTAAGAAATTACCCTCTCGGATTTTACCCTCTTTGCGATAGCTGAGCACCACTGCAAGTTTTCAGACAATGTAAGACAAGTTTAATTCGCTTTGATAAACTGTTTGACATTTGTCTCTTCCTCTTTTGTAACTTTTTCATTGCGTTTAAGAAGTGTTGTTTTGGAAACCTCTCGGCCCCAGTGATAGTGTAATGGGTGTGGGACACTGCCTGAAACTACGGGGGTTTCTTGTAATGCTTTTTCACTTGTTTATCAAGTGATCCACGTTACGTGGCCACTTGGCAGTTAACCACAGTCAGGTGTGTGGATACGTGTTACAGCAGGAATCATTAACCACATGTCGTATTTTCCTCAGTCTTCTGTCTTGAAGAATGCTTTTATCGTTTACAAATAGTTGAATCAAATGTCGCAGTTTAGGCTTTGCCTGTCTGGTATGATGTCATAGGTCCCCTTGTTTGTTATTAGTCAACCCTCCTACCCAAAACATGACACACTTTCCTCCTCGGCATAATAAATAGGTTGTCTTTATTCAAGACAGCCTGTAAGGACAAATCGTTGAACAATAGCTTCTGTCTGATTGTTTAAAGAAAATAAAACATCAAGAGTGAAATGAGGATATGTGTTCAACGTGATTGGAATAAGACGCCACCTGTGCTCCAATCAAATCTGGAGGAACAGGTTTGGGTAGAAGAACAAGAAACGCATTTCCCTGTGTGGTGTTTGCCACTTGTGCTTGGTCAAGTGAAGAAACTGCAACATGAATCGGTATGTTCTTTAGCCTCGGTTGTATTATTTCCTTTGTTCCTCTGAACTAACATTTTTCTGTTTGTATTAACTGTGGAATGAATTTAAGGGTTGGGTACGTAGTTTGGGGTGCAAATAAACAAAATGTAATATTTAAGTCATATACTTGGTAAATCTAGTCACATATGTGGCTAAACACAGAGAACATTTGCTATCAGTTTATAAAAAGCTCTGCTTTTACTGTCACATTTATTATGTATCGCTGACATGTTCATCTGCCCTCATCGTGGCTATCTAAAGAGTGTACGTGTGTAAAGGAGTCCACCTTCATTGTTATAGTTGTAAACTCACATCAGTGTCTTGCCAAGTCCAATAATCGGTCAGAAAAGGCAGTGAAGCCTGAGTGAATAAAGTGCACTCTTGTCCAAAAAGCAGAGTCAACAACATTAAATCCTCTGCACTGTCTGCCAAGTAGACTATCCGTGTTTTGTTTTTTCTTTTTGCCTTTCCTTTTCCCCTCAGGATGTTTAGGGGCTGCAGGTTTGAAAGGGAACTTGAAGTTCAGGGGTTATTTGCAAAACAGGAAAATGCCACTTGAATGTTAACAAGGAAAAGCAGATGACAGGAAAAATGAGGAAAAAAAGCAGCAGTGTTTGCATCTAAAAACTCTAGCCTTGGAGTAAATGATTCAGCTTTGTTTTTACAGTTTACTGCTTCTGCCCTTGACAGTACAGTGATAGGAAAACAAGCTTAATTCTTTGGTTATGATGAGCTTTATCTAATGTTGCCTTGTTCACCAAAGCTTGTCTGAGGCCATTACGCCAGTCATTTTTAGCATATCCCATGATACGAGACTGCATGAAGGTCACCTGACAAAGTAATTTTGTTTGGATTGGATTTGTATCTGCTAAACTCCTGCACGAGCTAACATCACTCATTATGTGATCCAAATTATAACTGCAACAATTAACACACTTTGTTCCTCTAAATGAATTGTACTGAAATGCACAATACAAGTTGGGAGACAGCTTGTTCCTCGTGTATCTTGTTTTTAGATCTCTAACAAACATAAGCATTTTCTTCTGATCTGTTTTCATCTGTCTTGTTTTGACTGAACTATTCATACTCTGCATTGTTTGAAAACTACAGAGGGCACAAAAAAACAGGCAGTTTTCACACTTTCTGGGTTTTAGTTGCTAGACACGGTCAGCTCTTCCTGCTGCTGTTCACAGTTTCTTGATGATACTGCCTCATGCCTAGCCTGCTGTTTTTACAAATTGTGCATGATCATGAAATCTGAATGTTGATCTGAACAGAGCATGCACTGAGCTGGCAAACATGGACTTGTGCATCCTGATGTGACCAGCTCTGGAAGTTAATCAGATCCAAGATTATAGCAGTAAAACTGCTGTGTGTGTGTCACTTTGTTCTCAGGCATTACCAGTTTTTGGTGACTAACTGACAATGAAGCTTCTTAAGAATTCAGTGTTTAACACAGAGGAAGGAAAGTTGTTTGATTCACATTACAAGGCACCTTTTTTATGGATATATGACAGGACATGGATTTTATGGATGTTATACTGTTCTAATTAAGTTGATTTAGTGTTTCAGTACATATGCCGACCATAAAGATACTAGTGAGTGCACAGCCTGTTATCTTATAATCACATTTTGTCATTAGTTTTGTGTTAAACCAACCACAGAGAGCATCTGCTGTTATATAATTATTCTAATGTAGCAGCATAGCTGTGTTTTAGGTATTTATGCACTTCATTTTCACAGTTCTGTGTTAAAAGTAGCTCTGGTACTGACTTAAGATGTAAAAACTCACTTTTTATTTTGTTATATCAGTTTATGGTATCATGATTTTTCCTTTTCCAGTTTTATTTAGTGACGTACACTGCATCTGTTTCATGCAGCGGGAGATTGATGCATTTTGAAAATTCTGAAGAAAATCACAAGCTCACCACTTAGTTGTAGTCGAATAAGTTAACAAATGTAAATACCACCGTAAACCTCTAAATATTCCTTAAGGACTTTATTTCATGTGCTTTTTATAAACTTTTACTGGTTATTTCACTGAGCTGCAACCTTAAAATGTCTAATAATAACCAGTGATTTAAATTCACTTTTATGTATCGTAGGCAGGCACGATAAGTGTTTCCTGCTAGTTGTCACTATCCAGTCTCACGCCTCTGATTTCCATATCATAAGCTCCACATCAAAGTTCCCTCATTGTTGGCATACATGATTCTACTAGCCATCCCACTGCTAAGCTTTACATGCCTTATCACTAAGCCAGCTCTGTGTCCAGACTCGCAACACTCCTTCAGGGGAAGGAAAAGAGCCTGATTTGTTTGGATTTTGCATCTTTTCTTTCCCTCTCCATATGATGGATACAAACAAGGTGAACATTGATTGCACATTTAAATGCTTAACCTTTTAAATGCGTCCTCTATTTTTAGTAATGTAAAACACTGAGCCTTTTTTTTTCTTTTATTTTGTGGTCTTTCCAAATCTTAACAGATGGATTCATTTATCCTTATTTTTTAAAACATTAATTGTTCTACATTTATGGTTCACTGCTGTAAAAAATGTTGTCAAATCAGATTTGATAACTTTGTAGCGGGTTGTCAATGTGAGGAAACTTTCCACCACAACTTATCACAGTTTTTCTGGTAGATTTATCTACGAACAAGACAGGAAACAAAGTAGACCGAACATTTAATGAGTTGTAATCTCTATAAGCACACATCTGTAAGCACAATATAAACAGTATCTGCAAGCAACATCATTTTGATACCTGAAAATATCAGGTTTCCACTTCTCCTATTCAACAGGCTTTGGTTAAAAGGTCGGAAACCATTGGTTTGTTTTGATAATGACTGGTGAACGGGAAGTGTGGCCTTGATATCCTTCATCTGCTATTGTCGATATCGTGGCTGCATCAGAAGCCTTGATATATCAGCTGTTTTATTGCAGGAAATTCATGTAAAAGAAGCTTATTACATATTATATAAGTTACATATTATATAACCATGTTTGTTTTTTGTTCTTTAAATTTTGTTAACACTTGCAAAGTTCACATGGCAACTGTGCTCAACTTAAAAAATAAGTTGCAATTTCATGATAATTGATGCACTCTGATGCTATTTAGTGACCTTTGAACTCTGCCCCTCTTGCAGGCCTCAGACTATTGAGCTCAGTAAGACGGGAGGAGCCTCCAAACAGGACACCAGCAACATGGATGACATGACTGTGGAACAGATGGCGATTAGGGCCAACCAAGTGACTGATGAGGTACTGACTCCTAAACAATGCATACTCACATCCATTGTGTCATCATCTGTCGAACTGTGAAACTTCCTTAAAGTGAGTTTGTAATATAGAGTTTGTAAATGTACGAATGTCATGCAGGGAAATGGATTATGCTGAAAGGGAGGCACTTCATAAGTTTGCTTATATGCTCTGTATATGAGCTTTTCAGTATAAATTTTCCTAGACGCGTCAATTTAATTTGGCTACAAGGCAAAACACATCTGCTGAATGTATTCCATTTACTTACCAGTATAAAGGACTAGTATATGTATTTGTAGGGTTGGGTAGGGTCAGTGTAGTATAAATGGTAGAAATCTGCCTAAAGACAAGCCAAGTTTATATAAAAATTAAATTGGTAATGAATGAATGTTTACTTGGATTCAAACTTAGCATTTCATTACAGCAGCCAAGAATTCTTAATAATTAGTCACATAATTCTTTAGGAAACTTCCCAATAAATAATTGGGTAATAACTTAGAAATTGTTTATCCCCAGACAGCATTCGATAAGTGATCACAGTTTGAATATAAAAAGGGATTTTCATTGAGTGTCGCTTGATGACAAACCAATGCTAGGCATCCAGAAGGCTAGCATTGTAAGTCCGGGCAGCTATTACGTCCCGCATGCAAAACCACAGTTAGCTTGTGTGCAGGAGAAATAACCAGGGTCTGACTGAAGGTTAAAACTATCCACCAGCTAGCACCTATGAAAGTTGGTTTTTGAATCCTTAGAAAAGAACATAAGCTATAGCTCCAAATTTGGCATAAATACCCGAGAGAGATATTGGTCATCTTATTTTAACTCTGGCAGGAAAGCTTTTGAATATTTTACATAGTATTCATAAGTATAAGCAACAAATCTGAAATATTTAAACCACTAACAGTATTCATAGGAAGTGTGCGCATGCATGTGCCTGTGTGTGCGCACGCGTGTGTGTATAACTTTACGCCTAATTTAACCTGATAGCTCCCTTACCCCTCTGGTTTTGACAGTTTAAATGTTATCAGCTATATCTTAGTGTTTTATTATCAGGGAGATAATTGTTTAATCAGCACTTCAGGGTATCATATAATCAGCCATCTGAATCAAATGGAAGCAAATTAACCTGCTAGCTGGGCTTGTAGCTGTGCACTTCACCTTCATGTAATTTTTACTGTACTAATTATCTGTGGCTTTTGTTTCTTTTTCTCTTTGTGTGCTTTCTGACTTAACCTGCAATCTTCTTTTAATCTTTCTTCTGTCTGCTGCTGCCTGGTTGACGTAGGAGAAAAGAGGAAGGGACAGGGCTTGGGAGGGTCCTTCTGCTAATGCTTACCACTCTGGCTTTGGGTAACCACTCATATCATACCTGAAACACTGTCATGCAGGGACTGGTAATGTGTCAGGGCATTACAGGAATTGGTTATAAGACCAGATTATCTTTAGGAAGCTAAATATGAGGTGTCTTTCTAATATCACAGCTGTTTTGCAGTCATAAAAACTAGGTTTAAAGACCCTCGAGGCTGTAAAATTAGTTAAATATTTGTGATATTTTCTGATAATCCTGACATATTGCAGCCAGTTAATACCCATATGCAATTTTCTGCTTCTCTGTGTGTAGAATAACAACTGTCATGCACCTCACCTAACTTTACTTTCAATTAAGCCATTCCTAACAAATAAAAGAAACACCTCAGGATTCATCTGTTTCTCAAAGAATTGTCGCAGCATCCTGATCTGGAAAATTTGGCTAAGACAGTGGTTTCAAGCTTAATTAGCCAAGTTCAAGGATTTTGGGAGACATAATGTAATGTTTATCCACCCAAGTGATGTTCTGGCTAAGCCAACAGAAACCTGGCTGAGCTCATCATATCCCTCTCGCCAATTCTGTGTTTGTCTGTTTCTCAGCTCACTGATTAATGTATTCAGAGCAAACATAACACAGAGAATGAGGAATCTGGTCCTCGCGCTCTCGTTAGCAGTTCATTAGTGATGGTAACAATGAAGTCGCATATGTGCTTCAGTCCTCCACTCCTCTGGATGCTCTGTTCTCTTCACTGCGTTTACTATTAATAGAGAAACAAAAGCTGTAACTCACCTGAACCGACTGCATTCCAGTTCACCGCCGTCACTTTGTGTCTGTGGGTGTATTTGTATTGTTGTCCACGCTATCCTTGGAAATGTTAAGCTTTTTTTTTTTGTAAGCGTTATCCATCTCACCAGATGAAGGACAATTAACATATATATATATATATATATATGCACACACACACACAGGGGTGCACATTAAAAAAGTGACGCCAGTATACCATGTCAGGATGCTCAAACATTTCAATTAACAACATACGACAGAAATACAGCACATCCTCACAACTGATTGACTGGAACAAGGAATGAGTTAGTTTTTCTTTAAGAATTAAAAAAAAAAAGCCATCAGTTCAGAGTTGTCAGATTTAATTTTGTGTTGAAGGAGTCTGAGTGAATCAGTGTTCACTATCAGATCTATTGCTGTTAGTGCATACACTTCTCCCCCAATGACTGCAGAGTGCTGAGGAGCTTACAGCTGAGCAGTGCTCTTAGAGTGCAGGGAAATTAAATCAGACAGTATACCATATTAACCTACAGCTCCATACTCTTAAATGTGGTTTTATAAATTTGCTGGTATCTACTTTCATTTATCTGTGAATATCAGATGTGTAGCATCTTCCCTGTTTTGCTTATCACTTGCATCTTTCCGCTTTCCTGATTTTCTCTCTCTCATTCTCTCTGTCTCTCGTTCTCTCTCTCTCTCGTTCTCTCTGTCTCTCGTTCTCTCTCGCACAATAATCAGTGTATCTGTTTACATTAGCAGTTAAGCAATCGAAGTTTTAAAACTATATCTATACTTAAGTTCACAGAACACTGCCCTGTTAGCTGCCTCTTATTTGTAGCATGGGATTGCACACTAATTGAGCCAGATAAACCAATGCAGCATAAGAAGTCTTAGGTGTAACTACAGTTACTACTTGAGTTTTTTCCAGTCTGTTTACAGATTACTTTTAACTAGAACCTTGAATCCTCATTACACTCTAATGCCTTCTGTTTGTCTTTTGTTTTAAAGTCACTTGAAAGCACACGGAGGATGCTACAGATGGCAGAAGAGGTGAGACTTTATTGATTTTGCTCTTGCCAATAAACAACTGTGATATATTCAGTGGAGTCTTGCTGTAGCAGCCAGACAGGTTTTGTTTTTTTGTTTTTGTCGTAGGCCATTACCTGAGGTGGGATCAAGAACTTTGGCTTGATTAAGCATCCAGATTTATAATTTTGTTAGTATTTAAATGCCCAAACCCTGATTGGAGATACCTAGACTGTGCTGTTGCTTTAGCAAAGCATTTGTTACTACCTGTCAGTTTTTTTTGGCTGAAACCAGAAATGTTGGTCCTTGTTCTGCTCTCTGAGAGAGGCTGTGTGAGCTGGAGGGTTTGTGTGCTTGAGCTGTAGACCAGAAAAAGGACACAGGATAAAATGGCCACTTCCCTTTTATCCTAATTCTGAAATCTAACAAACTCTTGATTATTTTAAATGCATAAATTAATTTGTAGACATTTGACTTTTTTAACTTGTTTTTCAGAGCAAACAAACAGGCGTCAACACAGTGGTGATGTTGGACCAACAAGGAGGTAGATGAAGATGTTTTTTTTTCTGTTAAATATTTGTGGTATTATCAAGACAATTACTGGATGCTAATGATTAAGTTTAAGGAATTGCTGAGTCATTTGTTGATTTAAAAAAAATAAAATAAAAAATACTTGGTAGTCAAAATCAGCCAAAGAGCATAGCCTTTAATGACAGTTTTTAACATTTTTTTGTCCCTCTAATTTTGATGATTTAAGAGTACAGATTTCCTGATTTTAAAAAAATTATTTATTTATTTTGCGCCAAAGGAAGTCTGTACAAAAATTTTTCTGGTATTTAACCAAAACAAAACATAAATTGCAAGAAAAGAATGTGTAAAGATGCTTGAGAATGTTATGCCAGTAGAAATATTTTCTTTCTAGACATGAGATGAATTAATTTGCACCAACAACAGTGGCTGCAGGCACGCTATAGTGTTGTGTTAAGTTGGGGGGTTTACACATCTGAATTTGCAGCATCCAGGCAAATATATTCATTGTCGTACTGAAATTCACCATTTATAAAAATTGGCCATTGTTATACTTTTTATTTGAGTAAGCTTTGCTTTAACTTTCGAGTGCTGTTGCAGGTTTATGTTCCATGCTAAACAATTGTGTATTTGTATTTATTGCACTAACTGCAGTATTTTTACAATATGCCTCTTTTCTGCTGCAGTGGCCCAGTTATTGACCCAGTTTGAAAATTCCCCCAGGGATCATTTAGTATAATTAAATCTATTCTAAAAATGAATAAATCAAGGTGATATTTAAAACACAATTTACAACCGTTTTCTAGTGCATAGCAAGCAGAGTTTGACATGGTGTGCTGTGCCTGTCTGTTTTAGAACAGCTGAGCCGTGTGGAGCGAGGCATGGATCAGATCAACCAGGACATGAGACAGGCTGAGAAAAACCTTACCGACCTCTCAAAGTGCTGTGGCATCTGTGTCTGCCCCTGTGATAGGTATAGTGTATACTTGGAGCTGCCGAGAGATCTAAATCACTGACTTTTGGATCCATAACACCTTTTTTTTTTTTTTTTTTTGTGCTGTGGTGGCTTGTATGTTCATTGTGTGTACGTGACTATTTTTTTATGGGGGTTCACAATGATACAAAGCAAACACACAAGCAGTCTGTGTAAAGCTGAGAAAACTGCATTTTACAGTACAACCTGTTATTTTGGTGTTGTACAAAAGTAAAAATTGCACTAATTTCTTCTATGCATGTTAAGTGACAATTGAATTACTTTGCTACTGTTTGCATTGACATAAAACCTTTCAGTTTTGCTCCTTAATACAAAAGCTGGACTTGGTTGCAGAATATTTGGTTGAATTTTTAAAAATTCAAAGCAATGCAGGTTGTTTGTTTTTTGTTTGTTTTGGTTTTGTTTTTTTTTAGAATGAGAGGGCAGCACTTATCTCCCAAGCAGCATTTCTCCCGAGAATCTATAGAGTATTCTAAGTATTAATCCTTTAAAGGATACTAAACATTTACGTTTACGCTCTGGACAGTCCTGTCTAGAGCGTAAATGTATGTAATGTGAACTTTAAACGGCTAAGTTGTGAACATGGGGCTTTATTCATTCACATTTTCAAGGAAAATTAACAAGACGCTCAGAAAATGTATGTTTTAGCTTTGTGACCCTCTTGCTTACAACTCTTAAAATATTGAATATTATTTGCTTAAAGATCTCCACAATATCAGTGGTCAGTCAGGAACATTTCTCACGAATACATGATTGGCTGCTGTGGCCCAAATGTAAAGTAAAGTGTGCGTGTTAGTCCCCATAGGGAAATAGTTCCTCTGCATTTAACCCATTCACCCAGTGAAGCAGTGGGCAGCCGCCAGCGCAGTGCCCGGGGAGCAGTGTGTACGGACGGTACCTTGCTCAGGGGTACCTCAGGGTAGCCGTTCAGTGGAGTCGAACCCCCGACCTTCCGATCATGGGGCCACCACTCTACCTACTGAGCTATCCCTGCCTGTGGCAATGTGGCTCACAATGTCTGTGTGTGTGACATAAGGAGAAAAAAAAACTCTGCTTGGCAAATGTACATTTCGTGGTGAGAAGATTGCTGATTAAATTTGTGAGCATTTCCAATCATTAATGGATAGATAGGAAATGTGATGGTGTTTCAGCCAACTTCTTAATGTGAGCTGCATACTCATCTGGGCTAAATGCACTTATAATCCTCCATGCAGCGATGATTTTGGAGTGTCACTTTGTGTGCACATTGAGATCCTATGATGGTTTTAACATGGCAAAAAAAATCTTCCCAAAATGCTTTCACTTTGGAGAAGAAGATTCTTTGATTATCAAGATATAAGGTAGGGAATCCTTTGAGTTTCATGGCTATTACTGAACATGTAATTGTTGCAGTGACTGAACTTAAGTACTTCTGCATTTGTTCGTGCATCCTGACACGCTGTTTTTTTGTTTTTGTTTTTTTTTTCGCTCCAGAGTGTCATCAATCGAGAATGACTCACGGTATAAGCGTACCTGGGGTACTGGAGGAACTGAAGGTGAAAATGATGCAGATGGCTCAAAAGTGGTCTCAAAGCAGCCTTCAGGCGTCCGCAATGGCCAGGCTGCCCAGGTTAATGCTGCGGGACCATCAGGCCCATACATCCAGAGGTACTGTCCTGGTTGTTTTATATTGCTAAAAGTCTTGAACTTTTTGGTGTTGCCAAAACTATTGCAGTCACTTTAACAGAACATATGTATACTTTGCATATGTATAACAGAATAACCAATGATGCACGTGAAGATGAAATGGAGGAGAATTTGGAGGCGGTCGGCAGCATCATTGGCAACTTGAAAAGCCTTGCTGTGGACATGGGAAGTGAGATAGACAAGCAGAACAAACAGATTGACCGCATCAACGACAAGGTAAAAACGGCTTAAAATCACATGAACCTCTAGTAAATGTGAAAAGGGGTCCAAGTAAATTTACTTTACTGATCCATAAAACACTTAGTTGCTGTTTTTTTTGTTTTTTTGTTTTTTTTTGTTTGTTTGTTTTCTACACTCCCCCCTAAATAATTAGAATTGTATGTAGTTGATGCTCATGTCTGCGTCGACTCATTGCTCCATATGATGGGGTGTTATCCCCTCATGTATATCAGGTTTTTGTAAAAACATTCACAAACATGCATATGTTCTTACAGAGGATGAGAATGGAAACTTACTCATAAAAATTTACAACTGATAATAAATTGCTACTTGGGGAAGGAAAAACAGCTGTATAACTGCCCCTTTCCACCTGTCTGTGTCTTTAGGCGGACATGAATAAGCTGCGCATTGATGAAGCAAACCAGAGGGCCAACAAGCTCATCAAATAGATGAGAAATCCCGCTTCTGTTAGTTTCATCAACCTTGAGCCTCTCTCGCCACACACACACACACACACACACACACACACACACACACTATATATTTGTGCGCATCTGCAAACATACTTTGCAAGTAAAAAGAAATTCTCTCATGAAGAAGTTTTGCCAGTAGTGTGCCTGCCTTTATCGCACTAAGTTGTACGTAGAGTGAAGACAACTTCTTGGACTGTCCACCACTATTCACACCCTTTTACACACATGCCTAGTCATGCTGGACCGTGAGAAACAGTGTGAGATACTTCAGTAAGTGGCTGACTGCCTATCACTGCTGTTTGATACCAAACTACATGCATGTAACCTTCACAGGGAGGGAAGTGGCACATTTGCTGCTTTCCGTTTTGTTTTGTTTTTTGTTTCTCATCTAAGTCAAGAATGAGCTGTTTTGTTGATGTGACCGTTAACTCATCAAAACTGATAAGCTGTTGTCTCCATACAGCCTCATGTATTTTAAAAGGAAACATCAACTCTGGTCTGAAATGAATCTTACTCAAATCCTTATACATACTCCTTATCATTGTGTAATTAGGTTTATTGTATCATGTGTAATGCTTTGATATTATTTGCTTATTTAATTACTCATGAAGCAGAAATGACTTGCGAATAAAGTTCTCTTTAACACTTTGTTCCCATGCCATTTATGCCTGTTCATATAAAAGGGCTATTTAAAAAAATATATAAATATAAAAAATAAAAATCTAATGTTGTACCTGAATGAAAGAATTTTGATGTTGTTACTACTTAAAATTTCTGATAGATGGGGAGTTAAGGTCATTGTAATTACTTGCTACAAAGAGATGACCTGTGGTTAGAAACATTGTATAGCAATCACTCGTTTTTCTTATGAGAAGGAAGGTCTGCAAGGATCATGAGGTCTGTTTATCATTACCTGCCCTGAAGCAATTAGTTTACTTCACAATAACACTGAACTTGGGATATGTAACAGTAGGTGAACTGCTCTCTTCTATGTTCACCGTTTCTTCACTTTGATCACAGTGTTGATGTAAATACTGTTTAACAGGATGACTAGAGGCAATTAATCCAATTTCTTAACTTTGTTTCCTCTTAATGGTTAATGGAGATTAGAAGCTTACAAGAGGAGACATAACAAACCTGTGCAGGGCAATTTGATAATTGTGGAACTGTTCAGTTCTGAACCACAGATGAGCATTGTTTAACCTGATGTGAGGTCTCTTTATGTGCTAGGTTCAGGCCAGTTGGTTACTAAAATCTTGGCATTTTAAAAACAATAACCTATAATAAAAAGTGGTGAAATCTGTAGGAACCCAATCAATCTTATACACGATGTACGGTTGTGTTGTAACAGCCGCTGCATCGTAAAAGGCTCCTCTTACATGTGTAAATAGTCTTTACAGCACAGCTATGGTACAATATCATCTGACGATGGAAAGGAGAATTTAAATTTGTGTTGTCGAAGCTGTAGCCAGGCTGAGAAATCGTCGCTGGCAGCAAAAATGCAAAAAGTATACATGTAAGTGAAAGTTGTTAAAGGGGTAAACACAGAGGCACAATAAGTCCTGGTGGGTTGTATTAAGGCTTGCTGAGGAAAATTGGCCATTGATAAAGGGATACAATGTGCCCAAAGTATCTCTCGTATGAATCTTCTTTCTTATTTGTTTTGAAGAAAAATGCTAATTTGCATGCTGTGCTGCAGGCATATACCTACTCAGTTTGTAAGGATTGAAATGAACTGTTTTCAGGGCTTTGTATTGCTATAAGTGATCATCCTCAGCCTGTTACGTATGAGCTCGGATCTAATTAGTCTATTCTAAAGCTGCCTTGCTGTCTGGAAGCTGTTTATTCATTGTTTCACCCACAGCCACTGGAATGTAAATACAACAGTTTTGTGTATTTTAAATATGTTCATATGGAGCTCATCTTATCTGAAATTAGCTCGGTGAGCGGATGACTGCTCAAAGTGAAAATGCCTTCTGTTTCACGCTTGCCACTGTTGAATTGTTTATACTCAATAAATCTCTTCTGAAATTCAATTGAATGCACTTTTTTTTTTTTTTGATGTAGTGACAATAATTAAAGACTGCATTTGTTTAAAAAAAACAAAACAAGCTTGTATATTATCATTTTAATTTAACTTTATTTCAAAATGTTTTTTTGGTTTTTTGGGGTTTTTTTGTAGGGTCAACATTTTTGGATATTTTACATACCTGGAAGTACAAAATGCAATTTTTAAAAACCACTAAACGGAAAAGGCAGGTAGGGAAGGTGTGAAGGAATAACTGTGGATGAAGGTGACAAAGTCGAAGTGTCAATCTGTAGATATATCGACCAACAGAAAGCATAGTGAATCTGTGGGATGCAAGTCTCAAAACATTTTGAGGTGCTAAAAAATTTGAGTAGCATGGTCACGATGTTCTGCTGGCACACGGCGCACAAAAGCTTCTGTAGTTTGTGTTCATACAGCCACAAGAAGATCATGGCTTTAACAATTGCTTTAATCTGTAGACATAGATGCTACCATGTTTACTAGAAAACACTTGAGCTGAACATTTATCCTCCTAGATTTGACTTCCATCGCTTTAGTGAGGTCACTTGAGTTGGATCATAATTCGGGGACAAGGCAAAACGGCAGTGAGACTGACAGAGTCCCCATCCTGGCATCAAAGTATAAATGCAGATCCATGTACTGTACATACTTTTAATTGAAATGCTGATTTCTGTAATGGCTTTATTGTTGGAAATTCCCATATGAACTTATTTCCACTCCTTACATTCATATTAAAAACACATTCCTTCAGCTCCGTACGGCTACTGTACGATCCTCACCTTGGTTGGGGAGCATGCCTGGTCCTGTTGTGTGGTGTGGAAAAGCAGGAAAGGCTCATGCAACCCTTTGCTTTTCTAGACTTTGGCTAGTTCTATAAAACTTCAAATAATGATGCAGGCTCTTGTAAACTGCTTTCGTGAATAACAGCACCTGGTTTAAATTCTAGTTCATCCTGATGCTAACATTTTGTCGTCTTTTAGCATTTCTATTTGTGTAATGAATAAAGTCCAACTTGCAAGACTAAAGGGGTGTTTCATAAAGCAAGGACTGCTGGTTGAAGGTGCTTTTTTTTTTTTTTTTTTTTTTTTAAATAAATCAAGAGAGGCGTACATGGGCATGAACACATTACGGGGGTTCTGGGGCAAATACAGTACATGTAAAAAGCCCCTAACCTCCCATCATGTTGTGCTGCTGCATGGTCTTATTTTCATAGTTGTTTTGCACCTCTGTGTAGTCATTTACCCCCTGTACTTTGTCTTTGATCGTGACCCATTTGTCAGATTAAATACTTGGCTTGTGCTTTTTTGTCTTCTTGACCCATATTTTTATTTAGCCTTATTTGGGTCAGCATGTTTCTGTAATTAAAAAGTACAAACCTGAAGGCATTTATCCAGTATCATGTTTTCACAAACCAAGTAGTAAAATTCAAAGATGGAGAAGTTCTGATTTCTAAAAAAAACATTTGCTTTTTATATTTCGTTAGAACAAAACTTGAACTGCACTTGAAGTTTTAGCTTGAACTGCACAAAGAAAAACTACTCTCATGGGAAGCCGTGAAGTCATAATTACAGGTAAAGCCCTGCAAATGAACATTTCAGTGTTGCAGATTTGATCCCTATTTTGTGAGTCTGAGCTCATCACTGACCTACAACTCCATAACAAAAGCTGTCTTTTGTACATGGCAGTGTTTGCGCTTATTTCTGCTTTTTTTGTGCATTTTAAAAGGGTAATTAAGATGATCTGTGACTGTAAATGCTATTGATTCTTGATGCATGTAAACCTGAATAACTACTGCTTTTCTGAGCCACCTTTATGAAGCACCCCTCAGATATTCCAACACTTTTTACGTGTGTCACTACAAGCCAAATTTGAAGACAAACAAGGTAGGTCAAGTTGGTCTTGTTTGAAGTTTTAAGAATATGACAATAGCACCATATCAAACTAATGTATAGCATACTTCATGCATCTGCATATATATATGTATATACGGTATATGTTGATGGATAGCTCTGAAATTTAAGTTTACACAAGTGTTAAATATATTTCAAGCTGACAGACTGCCACAGTTCAATTGAGAATAAACCTGAATGGGTCCTTATTCAAAACTGACACATTGTGGTGTCACATGACCGCTCGTGCAATGTTGGTAAGCAATTTCAAATCAAGTCAATCATTCACAGTGCATAGAGCATTTAGTTTGCATAACTGCAGATATACTTGGAGAGTGTGTGTATATACTGTACAGCACTATGCTGAGGTTTTCTCATCCCCAAATCTTACATGCCATTTACAAAGCTCTTTAAAAAAAAAAAAAAAAAAGATTATTAAACTCTGGTTCTTTACGTAGCATTTAGTGCTCCAAATTCAAACAGCACAGTATTACAGTTCACAACCATTTGATAAGGCAGGTTATTAAAAGTACTTTTCAGTACTCTTGAGTCATCTTCATTACAGGCCTTCATGTTATACATGGCTATATCAAAGCATGCCTTAGTGAAACAAAAAAAAAAGACAAAAAAACTTCAGCTAAATTATCAAAATGAAAAGTTTTACAAACATTCTTTGGTTGTGTGTGAAGAGGAGCATTCCTGTGCTTTAATTTAATGCTTTGAATTTGGCTTTTCCTAAAAAGAACAAACAAAAACGGTGGACCATTGTAGACATACACTGGCTTAAATACAGGCAAAAGAGTGATGACTTTAACTACAAAATTTATGGTAATTCTCACAAAATAATATAGAAAATCTAGTGACAAAAAGCATACTTTGATTGATTGTACACATAATACTTTCTCTTCCCAGGTTGCCTAGACAACCCCCTCCTCCTGATGGCCTTCCCGTCTCTTTCACTTCTTCTTGGCAAAGCGGCTAAACTTCTTCTCCTTGTCTTTCTTGGCAGAGCTGGGCTCAGGGAGTGCAGCTGAGGAGGAGGGAGGGGGCAGGCTCTGGGCTTTGGCCCCCGAGGGCCCCGATGCCTCCTCTGCTGCCAGGGGCTGAACGGCCTTTTCCATGGCCTGGCTCCAACGCTGGAGCTCTTCCTGAAATTAAACACACGCACACATCGCAGCAGCTTAGAAAGGCAAGTCCACCTCCAGAGGGGCAGTGAGTGTTTTGGTCTCCCAGTCTATTAGCATAAACAAGCAGAGGTGGCCACGCTTTTAACAATGAAACTTGAAATGCTGGTGAGGTTAAACTGGGGTAAAGTAGATAAAGACAAACTCACTGTCAGCATTCTTATTCTGTGAGGCTTAATGATTCCCGTAGGGTAAATTTCTCATAGTGATTCAGAAAGAAACACGAATAACCTCATTTATGTCACATTCTACAACCTTGCCAAATTACTTAGACATGGACAGCAATGCTAAACGGAAACAGTTCGGAGAATTAAATGCAAATGCGTAACTGCTATCTGTAGCATTGCAACCTGTGATTACTGCTTTACATAGGGTCAGCCATTATATGAGATGCCTTTTGAAAAGAATAATTCAAGTCCAGGAGAAAGTCCGATGTAATTCAACTCACCTCGTCTTTACACTGGAACAAAAATTCGCTGCCATCTCCAAGCCTGTAAAAGGTTAAAATTATATAAATATTAGAAGCACTTATGTTTTACATTAAAATCGTTAGAATGAAATCATGTTAACATCCAGACATTTCCCTGAAATTGGCAAATAAGTGAAAAACTCTTTTACTGCGTGCCAAGTTTTGCCTGTCTGCGTATTTCTTAACAACCACTAGATGTTTGAGTGGAAGTCATGTTATTAAAGCAAATGCATGCTCTTTATTGCACATATGGTGCAATAAACCATGGTGTCAGATATTGCCATTTTGTCAAAGGCGCTGGCAAAATTAAGATTATGCACCAGTTGTCCAACTTGCACCTGGTTTAGCCAGTAATGATAAATAATTATTTATGGATGCTTGTAAAGGTCACACTGGCTGACCTTGATGTTTTCTAGCTCTAGAGTTGATGCGAGGGGGGATATTTTAATTCACACCATGATCTTTTACCAAACCTTAGCAATTACTTTTTAGTTGCTAACCTAACCCAGAAGCAAAAATAAAACAGTGGATTAAATCAACTGCTGCCTAATGGATGTCAACTTCCAAAGCCACCTCTTGATCCTTATAACACATGTTCTTCAATACTAGACTATTATTTCTCAACATCTAACAATGCCAGAGATTAATGTTGTAAAGGGGCCCATATGTCCCCAAGGCCACCTCGTGTGTATACAGAGAGCAGCAGTATTTGACGCCCTGAGACAAAAACATTCGTATTCAGAATTTGTTAATATCAGTGCAGTGTTTCCTGCCAACGACTACCACACCACCCTAAAGCAGAATATATTAAATCCCATGTTTTACAGTTGCCAAGGTGCTTTTTTCAGGCTTCTTTGATTCAAATAGGACTCAATCTTAAATTGATCTGCCTAGTTTATCCCTCTGAGGACTCTTCTATGTGAACCATGTTTGTGCATCAATGCTGTAGTGTGAAGCAGATTTGTAGTTTTAGTTTGGTTTTTTCTGGAAGTTTTCTTGGTCTCCCATACTTTTTAATGTCTTCCACAGTTTGCCTTAACTATGATTTTCTTTTTTAATGGCTCTTTGGGTTTTGTAAATTGCAAGCTGAAAGCACATTGATATATTAGCTGCTTTGTAGACACCAGCAGTCTTTAGTTTCAGAACTTCAGTCAGCTGCTTAGGACAACCCATGGCTGTTGAGTGATACCAAAACTTTAAAAGTCAGAATTTATCAAACTCTGACAATTCCTTATGACAATTAATATCTAACCAGTTAGGATCTAAGACCATTTTATCAAAGAGCTGAGCAGTGCTTATATTCATTTGTAATTTGCATATAAATCTGTCTTGGCTGCCTGTTTTTTCCTTCATGAAAAATCAAGAGGCTGTGGTTGATTTTTAAAAACCAGAGAACCACACCAAGGTAAAAACTTGCTAAAGTAAACCTTCAGTGGTACAATCC